TTATTTTCAAATATTCACACAAATTATGTTTATAATATTAATATTGTAATGTGTATATATCATTATATAAATTGAAAATTTGTTTATTTAAATTTATTCATTAATCTATAAAATAAAAAATTTATTTATAAAAATTTAAGCACAATCAAATGAACAAGGAGTTAAAATAGATTCTTTATCAAACTTACCGAGCTCAATTTTGTACATGTTGAACTTAGTTGATCTTGTGTTTCAAGTTTGTTCAAGCTTGATTTTTTATCAAATTTGGTTATTCTTCTTATTTATTTTTTTTTTTAAGTGAGCTTGGACTTTATATTTATTTAAAAAATATTTTCAGTTGTTATAACTTATATTATAATAAAAATGCTGAAAAATAACTATCAGTAAAATAATTTTTTATTAAAAATTATCACTTAAAAAAATGTGTTTAGTGAAAATAACATTTAAAATTTTAAATATAAATTTTTATTAAAAGTTAAAATTATTTTCTAAAATTTATAAATTATGGTTTATATGTTTAAATATATAAAAAAATAGATATGAGTTTTATCTTTAACAAAAATAAATTTTTATTTTATCCATTTGTTAGTAAAAATATTTATTAAATGTAACAGTAAAGTTAAAAACTGCCCCAACGTGGGCCTACATAAGTCTGCCTAATTCAAGTAAAAAATATAAATTAATTTCTAATTCAGAACTTAAATATGACTGTTTGAAAAAAAAATAAATAATAAATTAAAATATTTATTTATTTAAATATTTAGTGCTGATTAACTCATTGTCAACTTTATTTACCGGTTTAAACATGTAAAAAGTTTAAGATCCGAATTTAGTTAATACGATTCAGGATAAGAAGAAAGTTACTTAAATAAGGAGTCATTATAATTTTTAGATAATGCTTAAGAAACCAACAATTTTGGGAGGAGTGCAATATAATAACTATAAGGGGTTTAGCATTTTTTTTTTTTTTTTTAAAGTAAGAATTTAATACTTAATTAAATCTTCAAGTAACAAGTTAGTCTTTTAATTTATTATTCTTCAAAAATGATTTTTTTAGTCATTTAGTTCAAAAATAATCCAAAATTTAAAATACTTATCATACAATTTTTTATTAAACGCAATAAATTCATTAAATAATCTCTAATATATAATTTTGAAGTTCTATTTCTTTAACAAATCTCTTACATACTTATGGAACATATTGACATTAATATCTTAAGTTATTTTTCATTATCAAAAGATTTCCTCAAACTCATTAGGCACAATATTCAATCTCTCCACTTGATCCTCTATAGGATTGACCTTAGACTCACAATCTGTGCAAATGATCTCGTTTCTTGATCATAGTGCTCTTCCTCCAAACGTTCACCTTCCTTTTACGCCAATAAGTGTATACCCTTGTTTCTTGATTTTAGTTTACTCAATACTCTAAATGACTCAATCTCATGAACTTAAATCCTTCCCAACCTTTGTAACAAAAATTCTTACTACCAATCTATCACATTGTCATAATTAAAAGGGAGTTAAGTCTCGTCACAAACATGTAAACTCAATAAAGATCATGAATTATTTATTTAATACTGGGTAAGGCAACCTTAGAGTCAATCTCAAAAAATTTTATTGCCACATTTTACTCATCCAGAAACAATTAATGTAAAAAGACTTTTAGAGACAAACAAAATGAACTGAGCATTCAACAAATGAAATCTCATTCTTTCCCCTACTTCACATTCTTAAATGTTAATTATGAAGTACCCAAAAGCTAAATGCTTCCATTTCTGGGCAGCCCAGCCGAAGCAAAAGGCTGCAAAGAAGCAACAACAGCAGGAATGTTTCGCTCACCATGCAAATCTCATTCTTTCTTGTTTTTCATCCTTCTCCAATCAAAACCCACTGAAATATTCATTTATTTTATTCCTTCAATACCAAATTCCTTACAGAAAATTGACCGTGATACATACATCCAACCACCCTGTCGACTCTCTCTCTCAAAAATTCTATCTTCATCTGCACTTTTTTCTGCCATTTACAACATATCTACATTCAGTATTCCAGTAGAAAAAAAAATTCAAGAAACCCTCCTTCTTTCTGCCATTTACACCATCAGAAAATTGAAGAAGAACGAAACTCAAGACACAGAGAATGCGGTCGTAGAAGTCTGAACGGATGAATCCTTGCAGCACCGAGGTTTGATCGCTCGCGACGTGTCCACAAGCGGTGGCGACGGAAAGCTGCAGCGGAGATCGTAATCTCGGCGTGCGGAGGGATCAGACAGCACCTGCCATGCCTCTGTTATGGCCTTCAAGGCTCCCAGTGCTGCAGCCGAGCGGTGGACATCGGGATGAACTTTCTTCACCAGTTTGCAGAAGAAGTTATCGATGCAGTCTCCGTCAGGGACATTGTGGCGATTAGTGAAACCCAGCACCGCGTAGTGATTCTGCTCGCCATTGCTTAACCTCTCAGAAGCTCGAAAGTGGATTCCATAGGAGGCGACGTATTTATCGACGTTCCAGAAGAATGGGTCGAGCGTCTTGGCGAGAGTGGCCGTCTCTAACGCCTCCCGCGTATCTCCCTCCAGAAACTTCTCCTCCGCCATCTGCAGCAGAACCTCTGTCATTCTCTTCCTCTGTTTCTCCTCTTGATTCTTCCTCTTCTTCGCTTTCTCGTCTGTCTTCCTCTGTTTCTTGATTCTTGGAGCTCACTTTGTTTCTCTCAATGGAAATTTTTGAATGTGAGTGTAGGCGGTAGCAAGCTTATGGATATTCCTATTTAGTGCTTGGGGGTATTCCTATTTAGTGCTTGGGGGTATTCCTATTTAGTGCTTGTGCTTGTGCCTTAATTTTCTGAATCTTTAATTTATGTATTTAGTTTGAAGTTTTTTCCCACAAAAATTATATGTAACTGCAAGGTGGAAAAACTATTTTTACGAAAAACATAATGTATATTGTAATTCCTTACATTTCGCTTGAAATGAATAAATGTTTTGATAAAGATATAATATATACATATACATATATAAATATATTGAAAGACAGTAGATTAAAATACTAGTAAATAATTTATTAAAATTATAATAAATATACTAATATAGTTACAGATTAACAAATTCATAATTCATTATAATATCAACTAATATTAACTATCTATCATTAGTATTAATTAATAGTTATACAATTTAGATTATTTTAAACTCATTTATTTATGAGTTATGAAAAAATCATATTAATTGAGAACATAAATTATTGAAATACATAAATTAATTTTTATGATAGTAATATTTAATTCATATTAATATAATTCTTAAACTCTTGTAAGTTAAGACATATCTAAAAAAATTTAAAAAAAAAAAACGATGAGGAGATGAATGTTATGGAAGACCAAAAAATTATAATCGCATTCTCACCGACATATGATGAAGATGTTAAGTTTCAAATTTCAAATATAATAAATTTTTGCATATACGTTTGAATAACAATTGAAATACATTCGATTTGACAAAAAAAAAAGACAAATTTTGTCCAGCATTGGAAAAAAAAAAGAATGTTAGAAAGAATATGTAGTTATCCTTAAATAACAATATGAAAAGAGATTCATTAGATTCAATCAATGGATTCAATCAATCGAATTCGAGGACGGAAGCATTTAGTTTAAAAGCTTATAAATATATTCATCTATCAATTAATAAATAAAATAAACAATACAAAAAATAAATACACACTTTTGTATTTATATCAAATTGTAGCTTATATTTTTAATTCTATCAATCTATTAGCAATTTCTAATGAAGGCATAATGTACTAATTTCCTCTTTTTCTCCTCTTTTTTATTTAATAGTATTCAATAAAAGAATATTTGAATTTGAGCTTGAAAAAAAATTAGTAAAAAATCAAATTTGAATTAGACAAAATTGAACTTTATTGAATCAAGTATCTTCATGGCTTTACGTTGTTTAACTGAACAAATCCTTCTAGGTGAATAACTTGTTTTAATCTTAATATGAATCACTGTTTGCATAAATATCATTTACTTTCAAATTTTCACATTAATTATGTGTACAACATATATACAATATTAATGTTATAATGTGTATATATAATTATATAAATTGAATATTTTTATATTCAAAGTTATTTATTATTGGGCCAGAATAAAATATAAAATAAAAACAAAAACAAGAAGAAAAATATGCAACATAAATTATTGGGTAAGTCTTAATTTTGTTTTCAATTAAATATGCAACATAAATTATTTCAATAAATAAATAAATAAGTCACTCACTAGTAATCCTTTTTCTTTTTCTTTTTTTTTTAAAAAGGAAAAAAGAAAGCGTGGCTCAGTTCACTCCACCCTCCACAGTTTGCTCTCCTACAAAAACCATTGGTTCCTGGAAAGTTGAGCCATGAAAACCCTGCATAATTGACTAACATCCACAAAAAACTTACAGGGAAGCAGGTGGGTATGGCGGTCACAGGCAAACCCACGACGTCGGTTTCCCTTACCCATCTTCCACCTTTGTTATTCTCTCCTATCCCTAGACCGGCCAGTGTTGTTTCTGTCAGAGGCCGATCGGGTACGTCCAAGTTTGCTAGAGTCAACGCAAACTTTGTTCCTTCCAAGGGTGGAGCTGGGATTTTAGAGCGCCCCACTTTTGATCAATCCCAGTTTGACCCTTCTACTCAAGTTCTTGAAGGTATTTGCTACACGTACATAACTTTTTTCCAGAGTTCTATCAGTTTTTAATTCTTGGGTGTTTGTTTTTAACACTGAAATGGATGAATTTAATTTGTTTGAAAGAAGATTTAGAACACATTACATGGTGAGACTTTTTTATGGCTGCTAAAACCCTAGTGGTGAATTTTGTCCTTTAGGTGTATGGAAAGTAGCTTCCATAGTTAATTAAAATTAAAAATTTAGTGGTTCTCAGTGTAAATTCTTAAATCTACTTGGAGTTGAATTTTATTCTTTTAGAGTGAATTTTATTCTGTCTCAAGTTTATTCATAAATTCCACGAAAGTAGTTTGATTTCCCCCCCCCCAAACACAGGTCATGTTTGATTTGTTTCTCATTCAACTTTTACTACATTCAATTATTTAATTATTAGGATATTCTTGATATATTATAAAATTACATTGTCATTTTCATGTTTAAACCATTTTCACTCCCAGCTTAATTTCGCCGGAGTTGTGGATTGTATTTTTAGTTTCTTTAAGATGAATTGCAACTTTCACTTAGAAAACTGCAAGCTGTAAGTTCAGCCCTGTGAATCCAAAATGGGGGTTTCTTCTAACAGATATTAATTATTGAATATGATCTGTGGTTTTAGTTCAAATTCGTTATGCTTGAAATGAATCAATATTTAGTTTCTTCTGGCTTAACAATAAAGCTCTTGCAATTACAGGAGGTGATGTTGGGAGATTGAAGAATAAGAAAGGGGTTGGGAGTGGAGATAGTTATAGAGTTCTGCTGATGGATGATATTCGTCATACTGAGAACTTGGGTAATTTCAAACTCTAATACATTGATCATATGAGCTGCCCAAAACATATTCTAGTTTGAAAACTCGTGGCCTGGTTAGATAAATTGTCTCCTGGCTGATTACACTGTTTTTTGCTCTTTAGCTGCCGGGCAGGTATTGTCTTGTTGTCCTCATGCCCAAAATATAGTGTTAAACCATTTATTCGCTATTAGACGAAGGCAAAAAAATTTCAGGATGTGATTGTGGTGCCTCAGCTTACTGTGCCTTAGTATTATATATCCTGCGTTTGGTGCGTTTTCTTTAATGTATTGAGCAAAATAGAATGGTGAAGAAAGAACGCCATTGTGAACTTTAAATCTTTATATTATAGATGAGCTACTTTATGTTATTCTACCAAATGAACCAAAAATGTTACAGTCACTAGGTGAAGGGAGAAACGAATCAAGTAAAAAAATATGAACGTCTTAATTTCAGAGTATTGAAAATGGAAGTGTGTGAGTGTTTGATCTCTGTTTGTTCTCTTGTAGTTGCAAAGATCTTACCCCAAGTTATTCCGTCTGTAACACCCAATGATGCAAGAAGATTATTTAATGAATCACGGGAAAATGGTGTGGCAGTTGTTATCGTGACGGTTAAGGTATATAAATTTCATCTGTACCTTCATGTAAATGTGAAAATTGTTCCTGGCTAACTACTTAAATGTTTATGCTTCATAAAAGGTTGATGTTTGGAGATTATGAACTAAACCTTGGGCTACATCTTAAATGAAAGAATTTTGGGTGAAAAGAACAAGGAGAAAAAAATGGGGAATTAATGTGCAAACCGAAATTCTAATCTTAAACGTAAAAGTGTAGATTTGGAAATGAATTTGATGTTTGTTCTATTTCTAGCTCTAATGTTGAAGTTTTGAATTTTTGTTGACAGGAGCACGCCGAATTTTATTCTCAAATGATGATACGCGGGGGATTGCGGTCAACAATTGAGCCAGATACAAATGTGTTGTGATGCTATAAATTCCTGAAGCTGCAAGCATTCATAATAGATGGATGGAACAATTTTGAATTTCAGAAGTACTCAGGTCAAATATAGTACATAAATTTATTGGAGAGAAGACAAGTAGAAAGGATAGGCTTTTGAGGACATTACCAAAGAATTTTGTTGTGAGAGCATATGGTTTTTGTAGCTGTATAATTTTGTATTAAAAAAGCAAAAACTATTATACATCTTGATCAATCAATTTTTTTTTTTAAATAAAAAAATGGATGGAACATGAGAATTTTTTAAAAAGCTACCAACTCCGTTTTATTATTATTTTTTATTTAACTATGTTTAATTATAAAATTCTGATCGGATCTAATACATTAGTATTAATATGATTATATTTACATCTTGATCAATCAATAAGTTGCTTACTCTATGTTAAAGGGTATTTGATTAAAATAATTGTAGATAGTAAAATAATATAATTTAATTAATGATAGTTTTAGAAGGAAAATATTAAAAAAATATTTTTTAAAATATGTATTTTTATCTAACTAAAAATAATTACTAAAATATTAATTTTTAAAAAACAAAATTAGAAGCACTCTTTATTTATTTATTTTAAATGCCACAAAAATATTTGGGAGAGTGATAGGCAGCCATTCAATTAAAACCACACACCCAGACTGATCAACTTCATCACTGAGCAGCAATGTGACATTACCAGACAAGCCCAAAGGCCCCGCCAAAAACCTCATTCCGAAAATCGAAACGAAAACCAAAATGGCAATGGCTCTCTTCAGGATCACCATTCTTTCTCCTTTTATCTCATCGTCTTCTCTGATCGGCAACAGAAGAATCTCTTCCTCTCCATCTCGTATTCTCTGTTGCTCGAAACTTCCTTCAAACAGGATAGACGATAGTAATGATGCTAACAGTAATGAAGATAAGAGCAGGGCGAAGAGAATTTCACAGCAGTCCTCTTGGGAAGCTAAGGACTCTCAGGGAAGGGATTATCTCTATAGGCTCGGACCCGAGGCTGACAACATGAATATTGCTGTTGGAGCTCGTTCCGGTGTCATTGATGACCTCTTCGCTGGCAACTTTCTCGGCAGAGACTGTGATTTTCCGTTTCCTTTCCTCTGATTTCTTTGTTTGATTGCTTCAGGCCTGCTCCATAAATTGAAGCATTTTGTTCTTGTTCTTGCAGCTGATATCGTGTTTGATTATCGTCAGAAAGTGACGAGGTCATTTGAATATCTCCAAGGTGATTATTACATCGCGCCGCTATTCATGGTAATCAGTCAGTCTCACTCTATTTTGTCCTTTTAATTTTGAGAATATGTTTTTAAGTTTTAAGCATCCTCGCTTCATCATGATCAATGTGAATAAGCGGAAAAGCATGAATATAGCGTGTTCTATATAGCACGATCAAATTGGTCTTAAGATGGTTAATTTGCATTTGGATTGGGGATCGTTTATCGTGCCATATACTTTATGTTTTCATATGCAACTAATAGGTCATTGACTGGTTTGGTACTCTTTGTTCTTTGGGTCAAGTTGTCTAAAAATACACGGAATGTACATTCTACAATTTCTGATATCGTTTTACTTGCTGATAACTTTGCATTTGATTCAATTCTCATTCTATTCTTACTTGATTCCCATTCTTGATTTTCGTATTGGCCTTAATTTGCCTATAGTTCAAACCTATTCTAGTTTTACTCCGGATAGTATGTTTAGTAGGTAGAGTTTGGTCTAAATACACTTATTATATTTCAATTCTATGATGATGCCCAGTGCATCTAGGTTGGATGATGGCGACTTGAATTTAAGCCTCATCTCCCATCCCGTCTCAAAAATGTCTATAATGGTAAATTTGTAACTCCATTCGTAATAAATCACAGAAATACTTGAACTTAAATTGGATATGAAATTGGTTTTGGAAGTAGTATGCTATTTCTGTTCACATATTTATTCCCTTTGTATTATCTTCTCATATATACTCCATAAAATTAAAGTTGGAACCAAACATAACCTAATATATAGAAGAAAAATATGTTATTTATTTGATACCTCATCCTCCATCTCTACATTGAAATCCTATGGGGTAGAAATTTAATTTTCTCTTTAATATTCTCATTCTTTATTTTCAGTTTACTCTTAATATATAGAATTATAAAATATTATCTGATCTCTCACCTTCCATCTCCTCCTTGAATTCCTTATGGGCAAGAATTCAATTTCCACTTCAATTCATAGGATTTGGATTCCCAGCCTAAAAGTTTTAAGGTCCTGGTGGAATGAAATTTAATATGCAAATCATGCTTTAATTCTATGTATGAAGATTAAAATAATTTTTTTCTTTTCTTTAATGTTAATATAAAGATTAAGTGTAGTAATCAAGTAGATACGTAATTTCCACTAGCAACCTTCTGGTATGTTTGAAAAGATTTTTAGGAATGCTTCTCTTACTATTAGACATTAACAACCTAAATAAGTTTTTTGCTCATTTTCAAGCCAGAGTACATGTTATGGTCAATAATGTGAAAAGCACAAGAGAAGGACCCATGGACCAGAAGCAAAAAACCATGGTGGCATTAAACTCCTTGTGGTTTTGGCTTATGTTTCTATTTGAGAATTCTTTAGGAAGAAAGCAAGATTGAAAAGTTCAGTTATAGCTGTCATGGGGATCGGTTATTTACGAATAAGCTTGAATGGGAAGTTTGAGTTATTTAGGAACAAAATAAACTAGAAAAACTGGCTGTGAAAGAAGACTGATCTGCAATCTGGTCTGATATTGGAATATCGGAAAACCAGTAGATTTTTTTCTCTGTGAAATAAGCTATTTCATTAACAAAATGATCAGCAAAGAACTTATACCAAAGTTTGTAGAGCACCTAATTGTAGAGATCGGAGGGTTCTCTCCGGCAAGTCCTGAAAACTTGTTCTACTTATTTCAACCTTGAATTTTTCAGTGTATCTCCGTTTGGACCTTGTATTTTCAGAGTCATTAATCTTCACTTTTTAGCATGATTTCTAGTTAGAAACTGTACAGCTGGTAAAACTGATCTCGAAAGTCAAATGATCAAATTTTCGACCTCCTGCGTACAAAAAGGTCATTTTTTTCTTTCCATATTTCTTAGATCTTCCATCTTTTTCTCCTTGTAAGGTTTCAAGTACAAATCTTTCTCCTCCACAAGCACAGTCTTATCTATCCTTGCAAATCCATT